CCAACCTCAACAATTCTATGATTCCATGACCTGAATGCTGCATAGCTAAGACCTTGTGTGTTGCTGAGAAAACTTCCTTTTAAATCTCACTGGTGTCTCCTTTCTTGAGGTTCTCATGGTCTAACATGGTTAACACTGTTTTGTTCTTCCTCCACTGTAGTGGGATCGAGGTGCTGTTGGAGTCTAGTTGGAGGCACTCATCAGGTGTGCTGATAAATCCTGCACAACTTTCCCTAACAGGTTTTTTTGCAACTCTTGTTTCAGATCAGGTAGCAGAGGGCCGGCTTGGTCCCTCTACTGTGGTGTTGGACCACACGAGTGGTTTTGAGGGGCTCCTGCTGGTGGATGATGACTTACTTGGGGTGAGTGTGATGCCGGGTGCAACAGAAAATGGTCTTGTGGGACTAAAAGCACTTTGGACTTCTTGGTTTATTCTTCATAACAGATCCCTGTCACTGGCTTTGTAGTGTTTTGTAAATGGAGTCTACCCAGAACCTGCAGGATCCTGGAGCTTTCCTGGGAAAAGGTCTAGCAGTATCCTGAAGTCTCAGCAAGCTCTGAGAGGAGCTGCGAGGAAGTGAAAAGATTACCCTGGCCCAGGGGCTCACCGAAGAGCTTGGCTAAGCAGAGGAAGGGCCGGCAGCCAGCTTTCCTGTCCCTCCCTCCTGCCTCTTCCTTCCTTCCTTCCTCCTGCTCTTCTCTAATGGTGGCAAGAAGCTGAAGCCGAGGCCAGGCCCCACCACTCTATTGACTTGTTCCTTTCTCCTTTGGTCCCCCCAGCTCCCTGCTTGCTCCTTAGCTAATGTTCTTCATGCAGAAAAATAGCTGAAGGAATCCACTGGCATTTAATCCTTTCCTGCTTCAGTAATTTCTGCACTCCTTTCACCCCATCACTGAGCGTGCACATCCTGTGCTTCTGTGCTCATTCCCTCCGTAATCTCTGTATCCTTTTCTACCTGTAGCAGAGGAGACTGCCCTGGTCCCCCCTTTCCCATTAACTGCCCGCTGTAGCTTACCTCTGTAGCTGATCTCTTATCAGATCAGACTGGTTTTCCTATGAATTCCTTGTTGCTACCTTCATCTGTTCTTCATGGCCCGTCCTGAGATGGAGAGAGTCAGGAGTTAACAGGGTTCAGTTTCTGGACAGCGTGTTACCTGCTAGTCCTGGCCTTTAGTCTGAACGCCCTGAGTCTGTAGTTTTGTTCTAACTTGTCCAGGATTCAGATGCCTTTCCTGTATAATAGCCACTTTTGTATGCCTGTCACAATTCACTGGGAACCTGTCTGTCACCACGTTGTCCTTGTAACTGCTCCATGCTGCATGCTTCACTGGGATTTATCAAGTACAGATGAGCTGTAGGGAGAACCTGGATGGTTTCCCTAGGGCCTGTTGGCTCTGAGTGCAGCTGCTGGGATGGAGAAGGTGTTCCATCTCTTCCCTGCACTGTGCTTGTGAATAGCTCTCCATCTTGCTCTGGTTTTGAGGGCTAGGAAGGAGAGAATGGGTAGGGCTGAGCTAAACTACCTTTTTGCCTGACTTCAAAACACCTTTTGTTTGTTGTTCCAGGTGATTGGCCACAGTAACTTCGGGTCCATCAGGGCCACGACGTGTGTGTATAAAGGTAAGGAGATAAACCAGCGAAGCTTTGAGAAAAGACCCTGGGAAGAGTGCATGTGCATTACACAACTGGAGAGCTCAGGAAATCTTGAATGTGTTCCAGATCTTGAGCCTCTTCTTCCCAAGTTCATCCGCTGGCTTTTCCAGGAAGTCAGAAGGATGGAGGATTGCATGATGCTGGAGCAAAGAAGGGGGAAAGGAATGCTAGGGATGTCCTGAAGCTCCTTTGTGTGCCACACTTATTTCTGTAGGAGCAGTGTCAGGTTCTGCTTCTCTAACAACGAGCCAGGCGGCAGGTATTTACTGTGTGGCATCTCTTTTTCTTTCAGGGAAATGGATTTACGAGGTGCTCATCTCCTCCCAGGGACTCATGCAGATTGGCTGGTGTACTCTCAACTGCAGATTTAATCAGGAGGTAGTGTAACTGCTGCACGTGGCACAGGGCTGCTCCGTGTTCCTCCACTGCTTTTTAAGTCGGCGTGGAGCATCACACTGATGCTGTGCTCCTGCCCTGCTGGCATTTTGTTTCCACACCAGGTCTGCTGTTTTAAAAATCTTTACTGGTCGGTGTTCACAGAATGGTGCACAGTGTGAAAGCCTCTCACACTGGGGTGCATTGCTGTCCTCTTGCTGCGTGTAGCCACTGCTACGGCTCTCGGGATGGCCCGCAGCCATGGTGCTATGGGGCTTTCTTGCCCAGGAGAGGCAGGCCCAGGGCAGCTCTTCTCAGGCAGCAGGTGGGATGTTTGATACTGGGAAGGGATGTTGGCTGCAGAGTTTCACTAACTTGCCAGTCTGTGACATGTGAGAGGGGAGGTGATAGGCATCCTGGGGTGCTGCTTTGACAGAATTGGGAAGTGTAGTGTGCTAGTACTCTTCTGACCCCAAAATGAGGAGGGAGTGATATATTTCTCTTAAACCAAAGATTGCAGGCCATTGGATTTGCTTCTAGTGAGAGCTTTTTCCAGGCAGAACACATACACTCTCAGCTGCCCTCCCTGTCTGCTGGTCTCCCCCTTAAAGCCACTTTTGCAATGAGAGGGCTCCTGTGTGCTTGGTCTGCTCTGAGCCTCCTCTTTCATTCTTTGGTGCAGGAAGGAGTTGGAGATACACCAGATTCTTACGCGTATGATGGAAACAGGGTGCGCAAGTGGAACGTGACTACCACCAACTATGGCAAAGTGAGTAGCTGTCCTCCCAGGAATGGGGTGTAAAGAGAAGAAAGCCG